CCCCGGGGAAAAAAAATCCCCCCCCTTGGGGGGGGGGGGTAAAAGGTTTTACCCGTTAAACAAGCAAAAAAAAAGGGGTGCCCCCCCCCCCCCCCCCCCCCCCCCTCTCCGCGTTTGCAGGTGCTACCGGCGTCCGCCCCTCGACTTGCCGTCACCCTTTGGTTCTACGGCAGACAGCTGGGACTCCCGGCGTCGCCCTCGACGCGAAGCCCGTCGTCGGTCCCACCACTCCCAGCTCCGGAGCAGCAGCTGGCGGCGGGAGACGACACTCGCGACAAAGTTCGCCCGCTACCGTCGCCCGCCGGGAGTGGCGCAGCGCACGCAGCCGAGGTGAGCCCTGGAGCTGCCGATGTGTTGGGGTGGTCCACCAGGAGGAAGAGGTGTCCGTGTGTGTGTGTGTGTGACAGGAGACTGGGGCAATATAAGCTGTGGCCGCGGGTACTCAAGATGAAAGGCGGCCCTCTGTATCTCGGGGTATTGGCCCTTGCCTTGACGTCAGCACCACGAACCTCCCCCTCTCTTTCGCCGCCGCCTCGCGCCGCACCCTCTCTCCCCGCGTCGTCCCCCTTTCACCAGGCCTCGATATTCGTGAGCGTCGTGAGCTACCGAGACTCGGAGGCAAACCCTACCGTAGTCGACCTGTTCGCTCGCGCGACCAACCCGGAGCGAGTGAGCGTGGGTCTGGTGTGGCAGCTAGAGGCGGGCGTTGCGGAAGACGAGGCGATGCACCGGGCGACGCCCGGGGGCAAGGAGATCAGGGGCGGGCGGGTTCGGTCGTTGTTCATGCCGGCGGCGGACGCGGCGGGTCCTTCCTGGGCCCGGCGCGTGGCGCAGTCTATTTGGAAGGGGGAGAAGTACGTGCTGCAGATCGACAGCCACACGCGGTTTCGACCTGGGTGAGTGGGAGGAGACCGGGCGCGGCTTGTGCTCCCTCCCATCTTTTTGTTTTTTCTGCCAGGCTTTTTGTTGATGATTTTCTCTCTGCATAATTATCGCCGTCGGTGGCTCGTCTTAGAGAACCTGTAGAGTTGGCAAGCCGTTGGTCGCGTCAAAACGAGGCTAGATTTGTACGCACTGGATAAACGGCGGGTTGAAAAGGTTTTGTCTAGTTCAGGCAAGCTCGGTGTATAGAGCAAGTTACGAGGCTCGCTTAGCGCGATCTGGAACACCCAACAACACCGACGGAGGCTGGAATCCCCCTCTTCCCCCCGCCTACCACTCTCCTATCCTAAAACGATGGATGGCAACCAATGTGACGATCGCGAAATTTTGCTTAGGTGTTCACCTTGCCGATAAAGATCAAAAATGAAAACGATTGCGAAACTCATCCGTCTCGAGAGACGATCAATTCGAAATCCCCGACCGAAAGACAACAACACGAGCCCCCCCCCCCCCCCCCCCC